GTGTGCCTTGGCAGTCGGGGGGGGGGGAGCTAATAGATTAGATAGTCATGATTCACCTACTGTCACCACCATGAAGAGTTCATTTAATGCACATTTGGAATGCTAGAATATTCATTTTCTGATTAAAGGACTATTGTGGCCAGTTTCATGGATCTATACGGTGTAGTTCTTCCTAAAGTCCAGGTCCATTTTACATGTGATTGTGTCAAGCTGATATTACTAAAGAATCAAAAATAATTATGCACAAACACAATTCGCATTTAAAAAGCAGTACAAACAAAGAAAATAAGGTGAGATGAAGGGATAGTTAAAGAGGCTGCATGTACACATCGAATCACAGTTGTGAATCCCTTAATAGCCAATGTTATTCTTATCACTTACGTTGTTTCTCTAAGTCACAAACCATTCCCTATGCACTCTTTGGATAAGTTTGTAAGACAATAAAACACAAAAAGAGAAGAGTATATAAATGCTGCCATCTTTGTTTGTTCCCTCAGCAAAGAGCCAGCTGGCCCACCTTCTATGATTAAATGTATTAAACTGAAAGATTAAGGTGCTACGTTACTTTATACCCATCCTGCGTTGGAACACAGGGTCACCGTTTAACACCAAGGACACATTCAGCACAGAGGGGGGAGTGGATCACAAAGCCTGGGCTTGAATTCAGGTACTTGGAACGATAAAAAAAGTATGTGTGTTTGCTTTCTGAGTAAATATGTGGAGATTTTACATGTGTCTGTAAAGGATTCCTATGTTTCTGTGTGTGCTAGAAGGGGCAAGAGTACCCTCCGTGATATTTTGAGTCAGTCACAGTGCTATGCTTCCAGCTAGAACAGTAGCAGCTTAGCCACTTCTGAACCTCCCACACATCCCCCCCAACACACCGCCAGGCTAAAAAGCATCTTTGTTCTCCCAGGAGATCATGCAAAATCTCCAGCACCAATTTCTCACAGATTTTTCTAAATGTAGCTTTACCTCTGTCTTTGGCAAAATAGTTGATGTTGTTTTTGTTTTGTTTTGTTGTAATCTTAGCATGGTGATTATCCAAACTAATTCCTCAGAAAATAAGTGGAAGAAGAAAGAAGGGAAGCAGTTTGACCGGTCAAACACGCAGTGTGGAGTGCAACACTGCGGGAACACACACAGAGATAAAGAAAGCTTCCAAGGCCTGCCTGCTGATGCGCAGTGAGGCAACTCAGAATGCCGACATGTTCCTGGGTTTGAGTATTCCTGATTGCGTGTTCAGGAGTATATGTGTGTATCGGATCAATGTGTGAAAGTGTCAAAGGGCAGATGGAAAGAGAAAAACCCCGACTGAACCCCGTGCCAACAGAAGCCGGATCACCAGACTAGCAAACGTCAAAAGTCAAGACCCAGCAGAAAGATCAAGAGTGCATGCAGACATGACCGGAATACTCGTGCTGGACGGAAGAGAAGACTTAAACAGTACAAAGAAAGACTTATAGTGCTTAGAAAGTGTTAGTTGATATGCAAAATAAATAGTGGATGAAAAGAAGGGGAAAATTATAAAAAAACAAGAAAAAAGAGAAAGAGAAAAAAACCTGGGCAAACTGGCTCACACCAACATGAATAAGAATTTAGAAAAAACCTTCCAACAACCCCACCACCGGCGTGTCCACCGCAGGGCCAGAACGCTGCAACCAGGGCCTCAGACTCATAAACCACCATTCACATTTAATTTGTGTCCAGCAGGGCTACAGTTTCCTGCCACGTCGTGGCCATATAGATCCCCGTTTTCAAGAGAGTGGTTTTCGATCTGAAGTTAAAAACATTTAGAGTTGGCCCTTGTCCTGCAATTTGGCCCTGCTGTGGGTAAAAGGGGTCAATCAAAATCCTCTGTTGCGCTTTGCTGAAAGCGGGCCAGCAAAGGAGAAAGAGACGGATACAATTCCAATGTGAAGATTGAGCGAGACAAGCATCCCTGCAGCTCTGATCGCAGCCCTGATCCCAGCGTGTGTGTGTGTGTGTGTGTGTGTGTGTGTGTGTGTGTGTGTGTGTGTGTGTGTGTGTGTGTGTGTGTGTGTGTGTGTGTGTGAAAGAGGGATTTATGTTTCTGTACGTTCATGTGTGCAAATGTATGTGCATGTCTTTTAAATGTGTCAATAGTGGTGTGTGAAGGTGCACACCTGATAACGCGATAATGTATGGAGTAGCATCATCTAACAAGTGTGATTATAGGTGTTTGTGTGTGTGTGTGTGTGTGTGTATGTGTATGTGTATGTGTGTGTGTGTGTGTGTGTGTGTGTATGTGTGTGTGTGTGTGTGTGTGTGTGTGTGTGTGTGTGTGTGTGTATGTGTGTGTGGGTGTGGGTGTGTGTGTGTGTGAATTTGCCATATATAACTTGTGTGTGTGTGTGTGTGTGTGTGTGTGTGTGTGTGTGTGTGTGTGTGCAGGCAGTGAAAGCATGCTGTTTGAGAAAATGGTCACATTGTGTTTTATGGGATGTTGTGAGGTTTTTATCATATTTGCAGCTAAATATCTCTGCTGTTTTGTGTATAGCAACGTTCACACTGTGTTTGTGTTTTGATGGACTCACCGATGACGATGGTGGTGATCTGGTGCCTGCTGGCCCCGTGCTTGTTCTTGACCTCACAGATGAAAGTGGTGTTGACGGCGTCGTCCACCTTCCTCACCGTCAACTTGTTGCCGCTCACCTCCACTGTGTCTGGCATCGCCCCCGACGCCCTGGAGGGAAGAAAAGATGAATTAAGAAAAGGAAGGAAAGAGGGATGGATGGGAGGTATGAAGGGAGAAGAAGAAAAGGACAGGAGAATGAGGGATGACAGAAAAAAAGATTAGAGGACAGAAAGAGGGAGAAATAAAATGTAAGAAAAACAGCCGGTAGACCACGGTTTCAAGATATTGGATAAAACAAGATGAAGTATAAGAATATCAAAAAGACAAATCGATGAGAGAGGGGGGAGAGAAAAATGAGAAAGAAGAAACAGAAAAAGTCGAGAACCGATAGGGATGAGAAACGAGAAAAAAATGTCACTTTGGTATTCAAACACAGCATTAATGTGAGCAGAATCACAGACATGTGAACAGCCGTTCTGTCTCCCTGCTCAATATTCATCAAAAACACACTCTCACAAAACCCAGCACAGCACACCATCTGTCCATCAGGATGAGAAGTTAAGAACATTTGTGTTTATCAAAATATTAGTGGGTGATTATCGTTTAAGACGGAGGACTGTTGTGCACAGTTCTGTCGTGATTACATCAACAATCACAGATGGAGAGTGGCTCTTACGCGGTCCAGGTGATGGTGGTGGGCACAGGGTTGCCGCTGGCCATGCAGAGCAGCACTGCGTCTGAGCGTCCGACGTACCAGTTGTTGTCATATCCTTCTATGGATACAGAGGGGGGGTCTGAAAGAGAGAACGGGATGTTAAGGAACGTAAATTGCCTATCAATGACATGGAGATTGATGAAGACATTCTCGAGTGAGGAAAATCTCGTTGGTGTGTGAACCACAGGCCTTATTGCAGGAATCTAAAAAAAAAAACAGGCCTTTGAGAAAAGCAAACGGGAAGTGATGAGTGACTCATTCATGGATTTTAGGACTCATTCCTGCACCACTCTATTAAAGGGATAGTTTGGATTGTTTAAAGTGGGGTTGTTTGAAGTAATATTAGGCTAAGAACCAACTACATCAAAGTCGCATTGGTTGAGAAAAAACACCACTAAGATACAGGCGGACTGTTGCTTATTTAGACCCATGTCAGCAACTTCCTTCTTTATGACACATAAAGCTCTAGACGAGTTGGGTATTTACTGACATATTTAAATGTTGTAGATCAAAAATATATAACATATTTTAAGCTTGTGTTAATCGGGTACTTTTGTAGGAATCTAACCAAAAACACATTCAAAAACACATTGACTTTGAGGCGAGCATACTGGAGTGCTAAAATGCTAACTCATTTCTGGGTTATAGGACTCATTCCTGCACCACTCTTTTAAAGGGATAGTTTTGGTTGCTTGAAGTGGGGTTGTATGAGGTGCTTTTTCATAGTGTTATTCCTAAAGTAGATGGCAGTAGACATGCTTAGCAATATAATTCTGTGGCAGGGGGCGGCAGAAAAACATATTTTAGCCATCTAAAAAGACCCACTTTGTTGAATACGAACTAACTATAGACACACAATGACACTAACAAACTATCGATCAAGGCAGAGGTAGACCAGCTACTGTAGATAAAAATGGATACAAATCTTTTTTGGGTGACTAAATAATTTTTGCCCACTTCCACAACAGTACATTGCTCAGCCTTTGTCCTATACTTCTGTTTGTTTCTCCAAACTGAGGACGTGATAACTTGCATCTTCTGACAAGGGATAAATACATCATACAACCCCTCTTTAAAAGACCTGGACAACCCCTTTAATCCGTTTCAAATTGTTACAACATAAAGAAAACCTCACTTCAAGACTGAAAGGAATGTGTGTTAAGGTGAGGTGTGTAAGCTGTGCTGTATCCGGAGTAAAAACCCTGCTACCTTAAAGAGCTTTTCTCCACAAATATCAAAGCACACTTATGTTGGGAGGATAAGAAAATCAGTTAGAGTCACTATCATAAGTCTTTTTATTTGTTTTACAGTGAATGCAGACCAAAGCATGTAAGAAGTTAAAACAAGCTAATAGAAAAGCTCTCTTCACACAGAGAGAGATTGACCAAGAGAGAGAAAGAGACAGAGGGGAGTATGGGTATAGACGGTGTGTGGGAGTATGTAATCTGAAGTGTGTGTTCCTCCTAGAGAGCGCTGACCTATAAAAGCAGATCTGAGTTACAGCGCAGACAGGAGACATGATCCCTCACACCAGCGCGAAACTAACCCATACACAGTGAGGAGTCACAGTGTGTTAAGTGTGTGCTCCTGTTTGTCTATCCTTGAGAGGACCAAGGCTTCAAGAGCGAGGTCAATTTACCTCGATCAATGTTTGGTTTTAGAGTTAGAATTACATTTAGGAAAAAGGAGTGTACAGAGATGTCATTATTTCCACATCCTTAAACTATAATTTTCTGTCTCTCTGCATTCTGTTATTACAGACGCCAACACACTCACAAAGGCTGCACACATGAGATGCTAAATCAGATTAATTACACACTGAGATGCACAGTTTGTTTATATGTTGCTTTAAAGCCAGTGAAGTTAATTTGACAGCTTGAATTGCAGGCATGACCCTGTGTCTCCAGCCCCCATACTCAGGGTCTCTTGTTCTTGTAGAATCCATTTTTTAAAACACATTGCTGGTTACTTCTTGCTGCAGCTTGACAGGCAGTTTTGATTACTTGTGTATGTGCGTGCGTGTGTGCTCTAAAAATGGCAGATTATAAAAAGACAAAGACAATCTGTTCCATCTTTGCAGGAAACTGCAGCGAGGTCACAAAGGTGAGACAATGCTGTCAGCTTCACTAAATCTCTGTAAAGCCACGCTGAACCTGTCGCCTGTTTTAATCCTGTGGAAATGAATGGATTAGAAGAAAGCAAACATGTGTGTGTGTGTGTGTGTACATTTGTGTGTAAACATGTCTCCTTGATTTGCTCTACTCCAGAAATTGAAGAAAGGTGATTTTATGCTATTTATTTTAAAGTATCTTTTTAAAATTAGGTCTTTGGGTGTGAAATTGCGTGTTATCACTAGGCATCAGTTTTGCCTATCCTCATATTGTGCGTAATTATACAATTCTGGATGCATTTGTCACAATATGCCAACACATTTATAACAAAGGTGAAACGGTGGCGAACACAAACACCTTGATGGAAACTATACCTGCTGTTGTTCTGCTAATCAGCAAAGGAACACATTAACAAACATTTATGTGGATGGAGAGTAATAATAACAAACTGAATGTAGTCTATGCCAGAGGCCTGTACTACGAATCCAGTTCAACCCTGGATATGTTTGAGTCATCTGGCTTAACTAACCCAAAACAAACGCGATCTCGCTAAGCGGTCCTACGACGCTGGTTATCAACCCGGTAACTCAAGCCAGGGTTTCTCTGTCCGAAGTGGTGAGGATCGGGACACCTCCAGTAATCGAGTTCTTGTGTAGAATAGTGGTGGCGTGCGCGTGACAAAAGTATGAGTGTGAGAAGGAGATTAGATAGATGAAAAGAGTGCAACGTGTTCTTATGCGAGAGAATGCCAAATCTGTGTAGCTTGGGACGGTGTAATGGAAGGTGGACCCGATATCGGAGATGGAACGCTCAAGGGAAAGACGTAGCTGTGTGACAAGGTCAAGGCGAGCGAGGAAGTCCAATGGTACGCAACGAACAATCCAGCCACATACCAAAACCACCACAGCCACCAGAGACAGACCCACACCACAGGCCCTACCCCGGCTACGAAAAACACGAAAGAGGTCTTTTATAAATACTAATCACCCAGCGTGCTTTTTTAAACACGCGGGTCGGCCGTTTCGAGAGGAACACGCTGTTGCTCTTTCGTATATAAGCCATGTGTGGTGTGTATTTTGCACCGATCAAAAGATAAATTTGATCTCGTGTCGTTAAATGTCAAGTAAAAGACAAAAGATGGCGACTCTACAGAGTGTTGAATGTATATATATAACGAGGCAAGAGAGCACAAATACACTCCAAACAGACAGAGACGACTAGTACAAGGAAAGACGGTCCCCGAGCGATGAAGGATGATTAAGGACGGTGTTGTATATTTAGGCCTAGTTCCGTGGAATGCATCCGGATGTGTGTCAGGCGCCGTCTGAGCCAGCTCGACGCGTGTCCCAGCTGAACCACGTGTTAATAGGTAAGTATAGTGTAGTCATTCACATCCTAAATTATACAAGGAATAGCTCAGTCGAGTAACTCAGCATTTAGACCGGCAGTTTAGTTGAGTGTCCAGTGTTATGACATAACGGTTCTTCTATACCTCAAAACATTAGTGTAATATTCGACACATGTTTTGTGACAAAACCCCGCCCTGTGCTACGATGTAACTTAATTACTCAGTACGAGAGGCTGAGCACACAGAATCGAAAGAGAACGCTCGTACCACAACTAATGTACTAGAAATTGACACCTCGTCGCCACCCGAAGTCTTGTGTTGCAGAAAAGAACACATGTGTAAGAAAGTCGACACAGAGAGGAATGTCCACCGTCGTACACCAGAAAATAGGAGCCTATCTCACATCTCAGTACCTACAATTTCAATTGAAGAAGTATAAACAGATTATAATATCAAATGAAAAGTAAGTCCTGCATACAGGCCTGCGAACAGGTACAAACACTAACCAGGTGTTACAACGATTGGGGTGGGGAAAGTGACACTNCTCAGATAAGGAAATATATGATACATTATGATGTGATATGAATGGTAATTGGACACATCGACGTCTGCACTCACAGTGCCGCGGACTGTAGGCTACGTAATGTTGCTTTGATCCGGTTACTTATGTTGTGGCAGATATTTAAGTAAGTACGGAGCCCTGGAGGGTTCACAGAGAGAAACATCAATAAAACAAGGCCACATTTTATTAATTTGTGCGCATGAGATGTAATTCGTGGCCTCAATTTAAATAAAACTAGGCCACGTTTTATTAATTTGTGCTCACAATATACTTTCTCGTTCCGCACAATAGACTTTCGATGTAGGCTAGTGCTAAATGCTGTCGGAGTGCACCGGAACGAGCACCACTATCATAATATCTTCTGAAAACAAATGCCCACACATACACACACACACACAGACAGAGACACACACACAAACATACACACACACACGCCCTGGCGACTGGACATCTTGTTCATAAAACTAATAATATGGCGTAATAATCTGGCAGTTCGATGTGTCTAACCGTAAGAAAGTATCTTGTGCGAACGAGAAAGTATATCGTATTAATAAAACGTGGCCTCGTTTTATAAATGTTTCTCTCTATGAACCCTCCAGGGCTCCGTAAGTAAGCTTTCTTAAGGCTAATGTTATATTAGTCAGATTGCTCTGAAGATGGGAGGTGATATTCTATTAATGTTCACACAGTCAGTTGATTTTTGCCGGCCGTCTTTCCTGCAACGGCAGTTTAAACTGTATTTCATTTATCCTGTAATATGACTTGATAGCTTTAAACTCAGCACACTGAGCTCTGATTGGTCAGCAGGCTGTGTTTTCACTGAGTTGATCTCTTATCCTGGAACCAAATCTGCTCCGGAGCAGGTTTGCCGTTCAGCATAAGTTACCATGGAGATCTAGCCCGGTAAGAAGTGAATCAGCGTCGTAGGACCGGAAACCCAGAGTTTACCCTGAAGTTAGCTCGCTAAGCGAAAATCCGGCTTCGTAGCAGAGGCCTCAGGTCTTTTGTTGCTATTGGATCAGTTGGTGGATTGATATACCAAGGTCTTGCGGGGTTACAACTAGGTTTAAAACTACTTATGCCAAGACTAGGAGCGAATATTTGTCCTCAAATATCACCCATACCTTACCCTACATCAGTTTCTCTGAACTGTTTGTTTATGTTATGTTTCATGTTGGAAACCCTGATAAACTAAAAAGGTGTTCTCAACTGTTAAAACAAATGAACCAGATGTTGTTTTTGTCATTTGAGAAGAGACTGGGAGGTGCTTTAGAATGGAGGTGTGCGAAGAAAGTGTTGCACACTAATATAAAATGATCCCCTCCTCATTATCGCTGTATAGTAGAGAGGATATAAATGTGCAATGTTTGTTCTTCATAGATAAGTGGTGAAACGTCAAATTAAACACCTAAAGACTCTGGCAAGGCACAGATCTATCTGTGAAGTTATTTGTATCCTTTTATGACCCATATGGAAAAATATCAACCTAGTGCCTATGCGTTATTTAAGCTCAAGAAGACATTATCATGTAAAAAGGTGTTTAAGTGTTTCTTACATTCCACCGAGAGCTGGACGGTGTGAGCCCACGGTCGCTCCTGAGTCTTCTGCTCCACCATGCAGGTCACCTCCCTGCCGTTATCTGCTGCCGTTGGAACCAGGCGGTACTCGCTGCGAACCGTCACTGTGCCATCTGGCCCGTTGGTTGTGTTGGTGGTGTGGTTGCCTCCAACTGACCCCAACCATTTGATGGTGGCCGCTGGTTTGCCGTCCATTGCCTCGCACGTGGCCACCACCACCGACTTGGTCTCGGCCTGAACGGTCACAACATTGGCAGAGTTCTTAGGCTTAGCTGGAGGCAGAGAAAGGGGGAGACAAGTGGGAGAAGAGCAAAATAAAGAGATATCAGACAAGAGGAGGTTCAATCAGTTTGAGATGTGTTCACGTACTGTACACCGTGGCACCCTGCTGTGTGTAATGCCATTCGGATGAGAGAGGGATGGGCCCTCTGGTGTGACCCTAGGCCTCAAAAACATCACAGACACCGAAAAGAAAGCAAAGCAACATCCATAAAAAAGTCCTGCAGTGTCTTTATTAAAGCCAATGAAGAATTTGAATTGTAAAATCCAGTTTATATACATTTTTATGACTTAATTACAGCTTGTATTCTATTAGAATATTCCAGAACAAAGCGAATCCCTTGCAAATGTGTGAAACAAAAATGTAACAGTGAGAAAGAGAAACTTTTTCCTTGACCCGATTATAATGCATGTTTTACATCAACCAATTGGTTTGGAGAGAGCTTCATCATCATAGACTTTCTTGCAGGTAGTTCCCCAATTGAAGTGAAACATCAAACATACCGACAGTTACTAGGTTTTCACATTTCAACAGCGATATTGCAACATTGCTTTCTCCTCTCCCATCACATTAGCGTTGTTAAATCAAAGCGGACTTGTTCTATAAAGTGGCATTGTTCCAAGAGAATGCCCTTCCACTACCAATAAATCTGTAAATGTCAGTGAATTCCATTATTTTGTGATTTCAAGTGCTGCAATTTACTTTTTTGTTATACCCACTGTTCACATACTTCATGTTGTACTGCAGGGTGTGATTTTGTAATTTTCCTCTAAATTCCTTTCAACCTGCGGCACAGAGACTTTACTTATTGAAAAAAAACAGACAATTAATGAAAACACTTTTTTGCTAGTGCATTGACTGCTGATTTATTCGGGGTTCTGTCAGTGCTGAAATTGGTTTATCTGTGTTTTTGAAGAAAGAAATCATCACTATGATTCTGAGGGACTGACACAAAAGTGTATTTTCATGGTCATTGATTAAAGTGTTTGGACATTTTCTGATACATTTACACTGTAAATAGCTAAACATGGTTGAGCATGTTTACATTTGGACAATGTGTCATGTTTTTAAAAGAAGTATACCAACAACCAACAGAAAATACTTGAAAATGCCTATCCTTTTACCCCAGCATTAGTATTAACAACAGTGTTTAAGGTCTTTAAAATAAAGAAAACATGCAAATTACTTTAATATCCATTAGAGATTTTTATTTTTAACGCCCCCTCATACCAGCATTTAGAGATGATTCGATTTTAGTGAAAAATCATGGCAATTCAGGGACAAATGTTATGCATCAACTTCGGTACATTTTCACTTTAAAATTGGTATTAGCAAGAAAACCGAGCTCCACATAGTGGATAATGGAGAAAGCCATTGGAGCTTCTGTGTAGCACCTCCCCCTTCTATTTAATCTTGCCTGTGTAAGTACAAAAGGCTAAAAAAAAAAGCAAATTGGTTTGTGGATAGTTTTGTGACAGAAAGAAAGGTACAAATACTTGTTTTCAATAAACTGTGTGAAGGTTCTGACACAACTGGAAAAACCAAATTTTTCCCGGAAAGTCATTCTGAAAATGTCACATATGAGTGACAAGGTCACTCCACAGAAACTGCCCTCCTTGCTGTCACTGAGGAACTGCACACTGCTAAAGCAGCATCCCTCTCCTCTGTCATCATCCTTTTGGACCTGTCTGCTGCATTCGACACGGTGAACCATCAGATCCTCCTTCGCACTCTCCAAGAACTTGGAGTTTCAGGCTCTGCACTTTCCCTCCTCACCTCATACCTCGAAGACCGTACCTACAGGGTAACTTGGAGAGGGTCCGAGTCCGACCCTTGTCAATTAACTACAGGTGTCCCTCAGGGCTCTGTTCTTGGTCCCCTCCTCTTCTCCTTGTACACAAACTCGCTCGGATCAGTCATTAGCCCGCATGGTTTTTCATACCACTGCTACGCTGATGACACCCAACTAATTCTGTCCTTTCCCCGCTCAGAGACCCAGGTCGTCGCACGCATCTCTGCTTGTCGAACTGACATCTCTCAGTGGATGTCTGCTCATCACCTCAAGCTCAACCTTGACAAGACTGAACTGCTTTTCCTTCTGGGAAAAGATTGTCCCACTCTTGACCTAACAATCAACATCGGCACCTCTGTTGTTTCCCCGACTCAGACTGCAAGGAATCTGGGTGTGATCCTAGATAACAAACTCCTTCACTGCAAACATCCCTGCTACAACCCGCTGCTGCAGATATACACTTTACAACATCAGGAGGATACGTCCCCAGCTGACCCAGAAAGCGACGCAGGTTCTGGCCCAGGCTTTCGTCAATTCACGCCTAGACTACTGCAACTCCCTCCTGGCTGGTCTACCTGCATGTGCCATCCGACCTCTGCAGCTCATCCAGAATGCAGCAGCTCGTCTGGTCTTCAACCTTCCTAAATTCTCCCACACCACCCCGCTCCTCCGCTCACTTCACTGGCTTCCAGTAACTGCTAGAATCCACTTCAAAACAATGGTACTTGCGTACCATGCTGCGAATGGATCTGGCCCTTCCTACATCCAGGACATGGTTAAACTGTACACCCCAGCGCTTGCACTCCGCTCTGCATCAGCCAAACGGCTCGCTGCGAGGGGGACCCAAGTTTCCATCAGCAAAAACACGTGGGTTTGCTATCCTGGCTCCAAAATGGTGGAATGAGCTCCCCATTGAAATCAGGACAGCAGATAGCTTGCACATCTTCCGGCGCAGACTGAAAACTCATCTCTTTAGACTCCACTTCGAGCGATAGAATTACTAACAAAGAACTGCTAACAGAGCNTCATTTTGTTATTCGACAGTATTGTTGTTTTATAGTTATTTGTCAATGCATACAGTATAGCCTAACCCAATTTGTGTTCTTTGAAATTGAAAAGGATATTGCATTGTGTTTTTTACTTTTGTTGCAGTTGTATATTTCTTAAGTGTAATTTGGCTTGGCTTCCTATTTATGGACATGCTTTTATTTTGAAGGAGAGTTAGCGCTGTTGACAGGAAGTTGTTGTTGCTATGGAAACAACGTGACGGAGATTAACGGAGAAACGTCATGTCTACATATAAAGATGGAGAAAGTAAACGATAAAGTGTATGGTTAAGTGTTAGCACCCCCCGAAGAGGCACAAGCTCTTACGTTGATATTGGAGAATTCAAGAAATTGAATTTATCGAATAAAGAAATTGAAACCCGAATAGTACTCCAACGAACCAATTTTCGGATATTCGGGTACAGCCCTAAAAGATTCCTCCTTTAACTTCAAATGATTATTTCCTAATGTCAATGTGTAGTCTTTGTTAACTGTATGGTTGATTGTGTCTGCTTTCATCATATATTATATCAAACCAAATCCAGGTGACATTTAAAAAGTCTTATATTGTCTTTCTGAAAATGGAATATATCCCAGGAAATTAGATTAAACAAAGAGCCTGAATAGACATGGAAAGCATAGACAAAGCTTGACAAATGAGCAGAGATTTTAGATATGAGCGGGATAGGAAAGGAAAGGAAAGGAAAAAGGGAGGCACAAACAGAGGACAGATGAACTGAAAGGCATAAATAGAGAGGGATCACATAGAAAAGAGAAGAGAGTGAATCAGAGTGGCAGAAAGAGGTTTGGGATTGAACAGCAGGCCTAAACAAGTCAGGGGTATCAGGCCCTGATGTGTTTCCTGACATTGCATCGGATTGGGCACACTGCTAGTTATCAGAGACATTTTGTGTAGAGAGTAATTAGAGGGCAAGCAGGAAGTTATGCTGACAGAGCTGAATAAACACCACCAAAACTAACCCTTCGGTAGTACGACCAATAGCCTGAATGATAGAGACTGACAGGGAGGGAGAAATGAAAGTGCCTCATGTTTCCAAAAACTGTTAACAGCATGGAGTGTATTTGGTTTATGAAACCAAGCACTTAAAAAGCTTAAAATGTGTCATAGTCAACGCATGCTTCCATTTCTTCTATTAAAATTGCAATTTGGAGCCAAGAATAATGTTCTTCAATCAACTCACCGTCACATTTGCTCGCTTCAGAGAGACATTTACTGTGAGACATTGTCCCAGCAGCTTCAGCAAGGCAGACCCTTGCCTTAACCTGAACCTGAGACTTCTCTAAAACTCTTTCTTTCTGACTTGGCAAGCCGATCAAAGCCTGTGACTGGAAGATTGCCAGACTTAACGTAAAAAAACAAGTTGGGCATATCTGCCAAGCATGAAGATTTGTAACTGAGTGTGAAGCCGGCTGTTGCTGCATTAAGGCAGCATTCACACAGGACAGCTGACATCAGGACATTGTGTTGAAACAATCCAGACACCCAGAAAGCTAATTAGTGAAGCCCAGTACGGACCACATTAATACTTATATTTGGCCCACATTCTGCCAAGCAACAAAAGTGATGAAGACATGCAACTATGGCAGCGAGGACACAAACTTAACCCTGGTATTATGCAGAATTTAGCCAGACCCAAGCCACACTGTACCCCTTTTAAGACCTAACTCTTAACCAGATTACAAATAGTTTGCTGCATTTGGCCACACTTACTGCATACTGTGTGTGGTGCAGTATAGAGATGAGCCATTTTGGGAGCAAAAACCCCCTAACCATTGCCACAAATGACCCATTTACTTCCTTAAATCAATCAAAGTTGACCCAGAATCATGTCCTATCTGGGTTGTGTCACAGTGTGCAGCTCTTAAAACAGTTTGAAGCAATCTGTACACATTTCAAAGGCTGATGAAGTCCATTTGAAAGGCTGGTCCAGATAAAAAACTCTCAACAAGCATCATTGTTCCCAGAGGATAAATTACTGAATATGGTGAACTCTTTTCCATAAGGTTACATTTAAAAAAAAAATGTAAGAACCTCTAGGCAACTACTGGATGCAGTACCGTAACGTTTTGCATTCACATTCATGTTTACTTAACTATTAACTTAGTATATTAAGAGCTATTTTTGTATTCGTC